TTAAAAAAAAGGTTTCGTGCTTTGCTGGACTTAAAAGAGGATATTCGTTCTCGTGGGTCCAACGAAAATTGGGAAACAAACCATGCACTTCTACACAAATCTGAGACTGTCTTTGTCAGTGTACCTTGTCAGAATACATCCGGCTTCGCATCGAATGGTTTATTTGATTAATTCTCTAGAATTTGAATTTGAAATAAACTGCTGTGTTTTGGTTCAAGGGTACCAAAACACTGGCAATGGAACAGGCGAGGTATCATCTCATATATGTTACAAGTGACCAGTATAATAGATTAACTTAAACTTGCTCACAGATACCATCGATTAATTACAAGCAAAACAGAAGAAATTGTTGTTTGGCAGAACTTTCTAACCTACAACTCAATTGTGCAGAACGAAAAATTTTCTGTAGCTCATTTTATCGCCTATTTTTTCGCACTTAAAACATTTTGGTCTTCTAATCTTCGAAAAACTAGATTGTCAAGGCGGAAAAACATAATTTTTGAGGCCAAGGTTGTTCCTTTCATTTTTTTTCAAGCTCAACAGCTTATCGCTTAAATGTTATTTGCTTGTATTTTCCAGCCACAACCTCTTTCCACCTACATTGGCGCATATTGTGCTGCAGTCACTGCTGCGTGTTCAATATCAGCGGGTAAAAGTTATAGCAGCAATTTCCCTTTCTCAAAAGCTTACACTCACAAGTTGACTTTTCTCATTCAGGTTTGACGTATTTTATAAAGCAAAGCAAATCATTGCCTCGCGCTAAACAACTCATTGTGCAGGTTTGTTGAGAAAAAACTGCACTGCATGGTAGTGCAAAGAAAAGGTTTTGTTTGACGCTTTAGTAATGGATGGACAGTTCTGTTTGAAGCGTTTCGTCCCCCTTCCTGCTGTTTCAATGGCATCGGCTGTAAATGTACTTTGTATGCGATGGAACGAACTTCGCACTGGAATCGAAGTTTATGAGAAAGGAGGAAAAGTAGTGGGAGTGTCGAAAGTTGCCGCCAAGCAGGTCTGTTCAGTTGGTGTCTAACACAGTACCCTCATTAAGCTTCAATCAAGGCCGTTCGCGACACCACAATTGTCAGAGCGTTCCTGCCAATACCAATGCTGCTGGCACCTCCCTGCATCATGCCATTTCTAGAAAGGTCTGCTAATTCCCTTATTACAGAGATAATCATACGTTTTTGAAGATCAGAAATCTTTACTAGCATAGGATACATATATTGATAAAGATTGTCTCTTTCTAATCTTAAGATATGCCGTTGTAGTCTCCAATCTAATCGTTAAACTTTAGATATAAATGGGTTGTTGCCTCCTCTTATCGTCATCTTTTCGTCAATGCCGTTGTTTGTACACTTTCGTTTGCTTTCAGTCTTCCACTAGCTCTAGCTTTATTTCCACAGGAAAGTACTGTAAGTTTTTAAGAAGAGTAGATATCGGAACTACAAATCTTACTATCAGAAGTTTAGATTCCTACTACTGCCATGGAAGCGGAAATCCAAGCAAAAACCAATTCAGATTTTCTACTTTACAACAAGGGCTTGTAAAATAGCTTTGAAAGAACCTTGCAGCTGCATTAAAGGTGCTCATAAAGTTTTGCCTTGAGATAATGATAAATATTATGGTTCCGTCTCAATAAAAATCAAAAAACAATTTCTGTGCTGGCGCATTGATCAAATTGTGGTAAGAACGTAAGAGTTTTGCTTGGATAACTGTCCTTTACATGCACACGACTGCAGGTCTCAGTGCCAAGGTCTCGACCACCTTACAAAAAATGACCTTTCTCAGAAGTTGGGAGCTAAAAAGTTTTCTTTGTTACCTGTCGAAACGTTCGCAAACGAGAGTGCGCAAAGGAAGAGAGGAACTGCTTTGAGCTAGTCTGTAGTCCATACTTGAATCCATATGGTGCATAAGAAATGCTTGGTTGAAAATCATAAGAAACCAAAAAGTATTTACTAACCAAAAACATCAGACTTCTCAACAGTTTCCACCGAAGAACTGAATCCCATAAAGGTTTGTTTTCTATACAAATATCAAACTCTATCA